TAATTACTATTAAAATCGTTCATTAACTATTATCATAAAATGCCACGTCCTAATAAAAGAAAACAGCAAATAAGTGCATTGCCCAGAAATCAAGGTCGTTATGAATCACAAGAAGAAAAGTTACACGTAGAAATAATACCTGAAGAAATATCACCAAAAATAGAAATGATACAAGAAATATTACAAGAAACCGCTACGATGCAAGAAGAGATTGTTGAAAAAAGACATGAGAGATCACCATATACAGGAATATCAAGAATGACAGGCTGGAGAAAAAAATGAAAAGCTGATGCGTCATTAAATGTTGAAACAGCACCTGGTTTGTCAAATCTATTTCTAGCTGTTGATATTGTAAACCGATTGCCACAACCACTTTCAACAGCGCTATTAGCTAATGCTTTATCATTGAGATTATGATCATCCTCATTGAAGCCACCTACTGATACTATAGCACAAGCATCATCTCAAATAGCTAAGTGTAACTTACCATCTACTGAAATCAGTGAGAAACTAGAAATGCGTTTAAAAGAGGTTAATCAACAATGTGCAATTGTAAAATCTTCAAAGGCTAACGCATCTATATATAATTATTTGCGCCTTCTAAGTATAAGTAGGTACATAAAGCTACTGCTAGATGGATGAGGCAAGATAGATGCAAGCATTCATCTTGCGCAAACTATATAGAGTAAAGGAGATTATACAGCAAAACATATCAGGAAATGGGAAAATCATTATGTAAAAACGGGAGAACTCCTTGTTGATCGTCAAGGAAAGCATTCTAAGTTGAAAAGCTTGATGAAAATAAAGATTTTTCTAATGATTGTCAAGCTTGGTTACATCAACAAAAACCCGAGTCCCGTTCCCCTGAAGCTTTGAAAATATATATCGAAGGGACGGTATTTCCTCAAATAGCAGAAAATATAAAAAAAAACTCTATTTCTGAAAGAACATGTCGAACCTATATGCATCTGTGGGGGTTTAGGTACAATGAAAAAAGGAAAGGAGTATATTACGATGGACATGAGCGACCGGATGTAGTGATTTATAGAAGAGAATGGTTGAATAGAATGTTCACATATAGAAAATACATGAAAACCTTTGATGGTGATATATTAGACATCGTGTTGGAACCTAAACTCGGACCTGGAGAAAAAGAAATAGTACAAGTAACTCACGATAAATGTCATTTTTATGCTAATGATGGACAAAGGAGAATTTGGATTGGAAAAAATGAAGATATCCTATGTCCAAAAGGTGAAGGGCGCTCTGTCATGGTCTCAGCCTTCCTCTGCTCATGCCATGGATTATTACAACTATCCGATAAGCAGATGAGGGCTAATCTACACATAATGCATAAAGAGGCATTCATTCTTTGCTCTATACAGTTAGACGGATACTGGAAATCAGAACACATGTTAGAGCAACTAGTGCAACAAGCAATTCTAATATTCGAAGTGCTCCATTCAGGCTGTATTGGAGTTTTCTGCTTTGACCAATCGACAAATCATAATGCAATAGCAGAAAACACATTAGTCGCAACGAAAATGAATCTTGGTCCTGGAGGGGTACAACCTATAATGCGTGATGGCTGGTACATCAATGAAAATGGAGTGTGGACTATACAGTCAATGGTATTTTCAGATAATTATAAAGTAGAAGAGCTGAGAGGGAAACCGAAAGGAATTAAAGAAATAATCATGGAACGTAAATTATGACCGTCAGAAGGTGTTAGATTAGTGTGTGAAAAATGCAGAAAAAAAGACAATGATCCAGAAAGGTTGGACTGCTGTGCACGATGAATAATATCACAGCAGCTCGATTTCTATGAGCAAAAATCAGCTTTAGAAGAAGCGGTTCTTGGAAAAGGGCATATCCTTGAACAATATCCTAAATTCCATTGCGAGTGCAATTTCATAGAAAGATATTGGGGATACATAAAGCGGGAGACAAGAAAATTATGCAATTATAATTACACCGATTTATTACAACAAGTTCCAAAGGCCCTTGTCAACGTTCCTGTAACAACAATTCGTAAATTTGCCTGTAAATCCTGGAGATACATGGACACCTATGACAAAGGTTTGGAAGGCAGAGCAGCTAAGTGGGCTGTCACCAAATACAAATCTCATCGTCGCCTACCTGTAACTATAGAAAAACAAATAGATTCAGATAAGGAGTAATTTATTGGTTAATTTCGAAAATATACTACTTTAATTACTTAGCTTTTTCCGTTAGCCATTATTAATAGATATTTCTTTCTTAAGTTTTGTTATTTATCTAATAAAAAGAAATATCTTTTAAATTATTCGATACAAGAAATTTTATAACTTATACGTCAAGTCTCCAATTAGTTACATACATAAATATCTAATTAAATACCTGCTGCTATCGCTCTATTCTGGAAAAAAAATAAATTCAAAATGTACCGTTACATGTATAACTTAATTTATTGGATTTTTTAATGCAATTTTATTGGTCAATCACGATCACGAGAAAATTGAACTGCCCCAGTATCGCCATCAAAATTTTCACCCCCCACGTGATGATCGACCAATAAGAAATTATCAAGTAAGTTAATTTTTTAAAACTTTGAGCAAAGGTTTCTCAACAATCACCTAATCAATCTTACTGAATTTTTTTATTTGAATTCTACAAATATGTAGAATTTGAATAAAAAAAAAATCATCAAAATTGGTTAGGTAGCTATTGAGAAACCTTCGCTCAAAGTCAAAGCAAATCTATCTCCGCCTATAAACAAATTGTTATTCTTTAATTTTTTTTAAAACTTTGAGCGAAGGTTTCTCAACAACCACTTAACCAATTTTAATCAAAAATTTTTAATTCGATTCTACATATTTGTAGAATTCAAATAAAAAAAAAAATCATCAAAATTGGTTAGGTGGTTGTTGAGAAACCTTCGCTCAAAGTTTTAAAAAAATCAAAGAATAACTGTTTATAGGCAGAGATAGATTTGCTTTGACTTTGAGCGAAGATTTCTCAATAACCATCTAACCAATTTTGATGATTTTTTTTTTTATTCAAATTCTACATATTTGTAGAATCTGAATAAAAAAAAATTCATCGAAATTGGTTAAGTAGTTATTGAGAAACTTTCGCTCAAAGTTTTAAAAAAATTAATGAATAACAATTTGTTTATAGGCGGAGATAGCTTTGTTTTGACTTTGAGCAAAGGTTTCTCAACAACCACCTAACCAATTTCAATAGATTTTTTTTATTCGAATTCTACATATTTGTAGAATCTAAATAAAAATATTTTCATCGAAATTGGTTAGGTAGTTGTTGAGAAACCTTCGCTCAAATTTTTTAAAAAATTAAAGAATAACAATTTGTTTATAGGCGGAGATATATTTGCTTTGACTTTGAGCAAAGGTTTCTTAACAACCACCTAACCAATTTCGATGAATTTTTTTTTATTCAAACTCTACATATTTGTAGAATTCAAATAAAAAAAATTCAGTAAAATTGATTAGGTAGTTGTTAAGAAACCTTCACTCAAAGTTTTAAAAAAAAAATTAAAGAATAACTATTTGGGATAGATTTGTTTTAAGCGAATGTTTCTTGATGGGTTCTTGACAACCACTGAACCAATTTTTTTTTATTCTTTAGATCTTTAACTAATTATTAGCATATTTTTATATTAAATTTATACTAGTGCAGATTTAACTAAGATGATTAAAAGAAAAAATATGATAATCGGAAATATTAAAAAGTTTCTAGTACAGCAATTTAGCTTGTGGAAAAATCTAATAAATAAAGATAATCGAAAATTAAGAAGACTGCCAGATGCACTGCTTTAATTTTTATTGATTTGTATACAAATAAAATTCAACTTTATATTTCTAAATATATTGATATATAATAGT